TCGCCCCGCCCCCTTACCTGTGTATCGCTCACTGATTGGACGATGCAGTGCATGCACTGATCTCATGCTTCTTGTTCTTGACATGAGAGCAGTACCCCAGCCGAGTGAAGAAAATAAATGAAACTCACGAGAGTCACTCCTCAGTTTAAACTGTGTTTTGTTTCAATTCATGTATCATTTAGTTACAAATATGTGATATATCTGAACAACAAAGTGGTCAAAAATCATTTTATTCATTTATTGGAAACATTTTCATGATCGCTTTTTTCGTTTTATATTTTCATTTACTGTCATTTCCATTCAGTCAGTCATTAAGTGCTATTAAAATGTTAATGTGCTACATATCCACACAAACAAACAAAGTGTGCAATCCAATGAATGTTAATCTAACTGGGTTTTGATAGATAATATATATATTTTTCTTCTCTCAATTATTTTATTTCTATTGTGCACTCTAATCAATATTAATCAAACTATTGTTCGTTTATACATTTTAAGAATGGCGTTTATCTTTTTTGAGAATGAGTTCTTATTTGATTTTATTTATTGGGGTCTACAACAGATGATACAAATGTTTGTGTCAGTAAATGTGTGGCAGGGGTGTTTGTGAAAATAACGGGGACAGAGCTGCTGTCAGACGAACAGCTGTGCGGCGTCATCACAAACGGACGTCGCTTCACGTGACGCTCCGGAGGAACTCATTTCCCTGCTTCTCGTGGTTTCCTTGTGTCCCTCCATGCTTCCCTGGAGGGAGGGACTAAACACAGGGAAACGACGCAAGTGAGGGAAGCAAGGATTTAATTTAACCGACCTGAGACGGGGCCTAACAATCAGTGTTTTTGGTGTGCTACATTTATTGTGTCTAGATTAATTTGTACATTTTAGGGAGAAATTATAATGTAAATATATGTGTGTGTGTTATGCAATCCAATTAAACACTACTTACTGGGCCAAACAGCCAAAGAAAATCTACCTCCTAAATAAATCATGAGCTGATAACGTGTCATAGTCTGAGCTGTTCTCATATTGTTTTTGTTTTTTTAAATAATTATACTGATGTCAAATGTCCCTAAATGCAACCCCACAAATGCAAAAACAAACTTGACCACCCACTAAAAAAATCTGTAACTCCTCCGTCACATTTTATACATGGATTTGTCTGCTGAAATTAACTTATTGTTTTTTAAATGTGTTTCTGGCCCTAAACCGTCCACATGTAAGGATTGTGATTCTTAAAAAAAAAGTATAGGACCAGGCTTTACATAAGTGGATAATGTAAATCTCTTATTTATTGTGTTAAACCCTCCAACACAACATCCAGACCATGGCCTGCTTCTTCAATAGCTATGGCATGAAGACGGCATCTGTTGCAGTGGATTACACAAGAGTGTGCAGGTGTACAGTGTAAAAATAGCAAAAGAAAGACACAGACACAGATTTATTCAGTAAAAATGTTTACTGGCACATTATAGTTGCAAATGTTATAAGCTACCATATTGTAGCAGGTATCACCCATTACATTGTGAAGTCTTGCACAGGGGGGCTGAAACTGTCTACCAGGACAATGTCCTCCCCTTATAGATTGCTTTTTTCATTGCCATCTGAGCCTCAACTAACAGCAACCAGCAAAAAAAGAAAAGAAACTTGTTACACCAGCATCAGGTGTGACATTTGTGACAGTTGCACACATTCAAATATACAGAGAAGCAAGGTAAACATAGTAAAGCTGCAAATCAAATACTACAAGCTGCAGGCCTCCGACTCTACCAATGCTGCATTCGCCTTCAAGCTTCTTTTTTTTGGTATTTACACAATAGTGAGGAGGCACTTGTTGTGCCTGTGTATGCCTACAGGAGAGGTCAGGGGTATTAACTTGCATGTTCAGCTGTGAAGCATTGCTTAAAGCGTGGCCAGCAGCGAGGTTCAGAGTATGGCTTCACAACCAATATTAAAAAAGTTCAGCAGCACCCCCTTATGGCCATGATAGCAATGAAGGCAAATCCACAGTGGAGTCCCATCAGTGCAGTGGTTCTGAAATCCCATCCTGCCGTTTCCAAAGCAGGACACTAGGCTAGAGTATGATGGCTGTGCCTCAGCCAGTGAGAAGAGGTGCTGGAGTTGTGAACTGTAAATCAAAGCCATTCGATCACAATATCATCTGCAGGAACTGGGGCCACCTGCTGCCCGACGATCAGTCAAATACCTGCTGCTTTTCTGTGTCCTGATCCCCACTTTCACTCATACATCTCACGGTCACGCACACAAACTTAATGAAAACAAATTCATAAGTGACATGACAGGTATCACAGAGAATGCTGATAGAGGTTTTTCAAACCCTTCAAACTGAGTGCTCTGCAGAGAATGGTATCAAACTACTGATTTCATTATTACATTGTTTAAGCGTTGCCTGGAAAAATATATATTTTGTATGTGTTCTGCAGGATGTAGACATGTTTTAACTGTTTAGACGATCTTATCTTTAGTTTAAAAAACTATTATGTGACCAATTTAAATTTCCCTTGATAATACTTTCTTATAAATGTATGCAACATGTATGTTCAGAACTAATGGACATTATAATGCTAACCATAAATTACCAGCCCATTCAAATTCCAATCACTGATTGTTACCATCTTAGCAAAATAAGCATCCCCCCATTGGAAACCCATTGAAATGAAGAACGTAATAAAAAAAAAGAAAGCCATTTAAAAACGTTTAATATATAACTTTTATATAATGTATACTTAAACAAGACAATGTGTCTTCCAAAATTTGAGAAATAGATGGACAAAAAAGGGGAATAAACAAAACAATGACAAACAAAAAAAGATCATGATGTTCCTCTAGTGAAGTTCTACGAGCAACCAACAACTCTTCCAGCACAATGGAATATAAAATGCTTGTGTTTAAAATGAACATGTTATCGTGTGTTGTAATGACTCAAAAGTATGCATATTTGAATTTCAACATAACAAAACAACAGCTGGAGTTTTGATTAGTTCCCCTTCTGCGGGGTGAAGGTTGGTCGAACAGCTCATGCAGTGTTTAGTTGGATTGTAAATCTGCAGCCTTTTTTTCCAAGACATAAAACCCCAGCGATTGAAGTGTCTTTAACACAGCAAGAAAAACACACACGAAAAAAGAATCTAAACATAAGATGTGGAATCATTTGAAGTGTTAAACGCCCACCAAGTCAGTCGATTTTTGGCCTCATTATAAAGACTTAACGATTTAACTCTCATTCTTTAAATACGGGAACATTCAAACAAATATCTTTAAAACTTACACTGATATTACAAATAGATAATGAACAAAAGATTGGTTCCTAACTCTTCAGCAAGGGAGTGACAATTACTGGATTGAGGACAGCGAATGGCTGCGTGCGTCTATATTGGTCTTTCTTTACAAGTCGGGGAACTGCTGTGAAGTCTCTTTCTTTTTAAATCTTTCTATCTTAAACACTTATTGAAGCGACTGGCCTTAATGAAAACATACACCAATAACCGGCAGCTAGTTTGTCGTGAAGTCAGTCTGGACACTGTACTCTAAGGAAATGACAGCTGCTTCACATTAATGCAGCTTTTAAAGCAACGGTTAGCAATGCATTGGATCTTAGTTTCTTTTCCTAAGCTCCAAGATGGTCACAGCAATCCTAAATCACATGCTTGTTCCCTTTAGAAAAGGCCATTGAGTGTTTCGCGTAGTGTCCTCTCTAGTTGATGTTCCAGCAATAGTTTGAAAACATGCACGAAAACAGACAAAAATTGATGGTTGAGAAT